ACAGGAACTTAACTCATTTGTTTTTATATTCACCTGAGCAAAAAAAAAAAAAAAAAATTTCCTAAGTGTTGTATTTAAATAAATGTCTGTTGATTTGAACTAGGGTACAGTGAGTATAATATTGTAACACACTAGGATTTTTTTCTTCTTTATGGATATAGTCTTGCAAAGCAGAGAGAGTCTTGGCATTTCCGACTTCTGGTGGTGAGGGGAGGCAAGAGAAGTCCCTGAGGAAGCCACACCTCACCTGCCAACCTTCCTTCCCATAGCCAGCTGCCCAGAGTTGAGCGGTAATTGTTTCTGGGTTCATGGAGGGGTGAGGCTTCCTAAGCAGAAAGCCTTCTGGTGGCTATAACAAATGCCAAGTGAAATGCATTGCATATATAAGGCACGTCCTTTTCTGATCCTTCAAAGACTTTCTCAATCTGATCTGGGACCACCCTTTATGCTTCCTCTCCCTTTACTTCCGCGTATAAGAACTGTCTTATGATCCTCCACCTCTTCCTGTCAATACTTCCACACCTGGGTTTATGTTTCCTCCCTCCAGCTCCTTCCTTCCTTCCTTCCTTCCTTCCTTCCTTCCATCCATCCTTCCTTCCTTCCATCCATCCTTCCTTCCTCCTTTCAGTATATATTAATTTAGTGCTAGGCACTTTTTAGGAATACATTTGTAAACACAAAACATGCAGAAATCCCCCTCTGCATGGAGTCTATGATCTAACATGTGGGACGTCCTTTCTTTTCTCTTTATAGTGAAAGTTCACCTTTCCTTGAAGCCATTCCTGATTGTTCTAACCCAGGTTCTTTTCTCCTGAATTTTCAGGGGCACCTGTTTCCTGTTCCCTCCCTGTGACAGACACTGCCTTGTATTCTTTGCACTTGTTATGTGTGAGTATCTCTTCTCCTTGAGTGCATTTTAAGCTCCTTGAAGGTAGAGACCATGGCATTTGTTCATGCAAAAGTACCAATGTACATGCCTTGCATTATGTATGCTATCTTGCACATATTTAAATTCCCCAAGTCACTATAGAACATTGCAATTAGGCACCCGGTAGATATTTTTAATTGATTTAAGGATATTTATTGCTTTCTGCTTTATCAAGTGCAGCAGCTCTAAGACTGTGCTAGACCATTAGTCATCAAAATGTTTATTAAGATTCTGCATGACGATGTCAGTAAGTGCTGCTACTATTTAATCTTCTGCCAAGGAACCAGTCGAGTGCCAAGCACAACCTCTGCCCACACCTCGTCAACTGAGCAAATCACCTCTGGGATATTCTATATGATGTTTGTAAATCTTTACCGTAACACCAAAGCTGTTATTAAAAGGAGCAGGAGGTGCTGGGGGCAGGAGGAGGGCTGCTAATTATGGCTGGAGTCAGTTCTTAAGCTTCCCTGTCTATCAGATATTGGTGTCAAAAACTTCAGAGTGCCTTTCTTACCTGTCTTTTTTGATTCAAGGCCACTGGGTGTTCATCATAAAACCTGTCTTGCTATTAGTAGGACAGCAAGAAAAGTTTGTGATTATTGTTTTGACTGATCCTTCACACTCCTTTGCATGGAGGTTCAATAAAAGTCTACTGGCTGAGGTTGGAGGGCAGTCAGTCAGAAGTCTTAGACCCAGGGACCTGGTAATGCAAGGATCCAAGCTGTGACCTTCACCCCACTGGGCCCATGTGCCAAGTAAGCAATTGACTTCACGTTAAATTTAAAAATTGAGGGATAATTCTATAACTATTTTGGTTTCCTGTGGTTATTATAATAATGGAGAGGCAGTAGCTTTCCTGGTTCAAATCCTCCCTCTGACACATAGGAGCTGTGTAACCCTGAGCTGTTTAACTTTCTGAGGAAGGAAATCATATTCGTACTTGCCTGATAGGGTTCTCATAAGGGTTAGAAGTATCTGTATATAAGTACTGTAGGCCCACACAGAGATGGAAACTTGCATGTTCAGATATGAGTAAATTTGGATACATTTTCCATCCTCTTTCTTTCAATATTTGGATGTTTTTAATCTACTTATTTAAACTGTTACAGATTATAGAAGAAACTTTGGGTCTCTGTCAAGAGGTGTGGTACAATAACCTAGAGATTCCCCCTGCCAACGGTCTTAAGTTGCCAGGGCTAAAGATATCTCCACTTAGATCTTAATTTCTTATACTTTTGTCATATAGTTACATCACTGCATTCTTAAGGTGCAAATTTTTTTAGGTGTACTTTTGACCTCACAGTGATTAGACTATGACTGACGGAAATGGCCTGAATTGTGTGAATTTGGGTGGATTGAGCTTAGTAGAACCACTTCAAATCGCTTTGGTTGGGGGCCCTGGTGTGGGACACAGGCTGAGACCACAGCATAGGTCAGAACCTATGGCATATCAAGTGAACATTGGAGGGCGAAATCAAGACCAAACTATTTATCATAAAACATAAAAGTATTATTGATGAGGTTTTTTAAAAGTGCTTAGAGGAGGCCTGATTTAACAGCTAGTGTGGTATGGACAGTGAGACACAATAACCAAAAACCTACCACAGTCTTACGACTACACAGAGTCCAGAACAGTGGAGGGGACAGTGCCATGTGGAGAACAGAGCCGGTGTCCACATCCTTGTAAGAGGGAAATTGACTGCCAGTAAAGAGGGAATCCACAAGGGCAAATCATTGGAAGGTGGAGGCACTGAAGAGGTGCTAACAATGTTCTGATCCCATGTATTGTTCACCAATAAATGAAAATATAGGCTGCATGCTTACTAGGCTTCCAAAAGTGTAGGTGATGAGAGAAGAGATGGTCTGGAAGGTGAAGACTAGATTGCTTTTTGTAGCTAGTAGATAAGTTAATGAACTGAGAAGGGATGAGTTAACAGACTGAAGAGGGATGAGTTAACAGCTCCTTGAGGGCAGAATGGGAATCATTGTGTGGGGTGATGGGAGAGGACGATTTAGGCTCACCAGAGCGTATGTGTGACTTGCGATGGGGTCTGAATCTGTGGAAGGAGATGTTTGAGAACAGGCTGAATCCCAGGAATTAAGAGAGGTTCTGATTCTGGTGGGATTTGAGCTTGGGGACCCAGTCAGGACCCTTCCAGCTCTGAGATCTGGGAGAGCCTGGCTAATGGTTCCTTGTGCTCTGGTGCTTCCTGTTTTAGGTTTCATCTCCACTTTGCGCTCATCATGGCTTCTCCTGCCCAAATCTAGTCAGTCTCTGAGTATGGGATAACGGGCCTGTGTATGTTTCCTGAGTTGAGGTAGTGAGGGGTGCTTGTTTGGGAATTACTTTTGGTTTGGAAGAGTTTGGGCAATTAGAACTACTAATACAGTAGAATTCTTTTTTTCCCCCCTTAATTATTCTTTTCCACTGTGACTCTATTTTTCTCTGATACTCCTGTCATTCTGTCCTGTCACTCTCAAGTCCCGCCCCTCTTTCCTCTTGAGATGTTGACATGTCTTTTCTTGTACTGTAAATAAAAGACCAAATGCTTTGTCGATGTTTCTGCTGAAGTGGGGTCCTTTTGTGTATGTGCTTGAGTGTGTGTACGTGTGTGTGTGAAAACAACATGTACCCATATGTGCATGAGTTATTCATTGTGGGTGGTACAGATAATATCATGAAAAGGACATTTTGATGCAGATATATAATTGATTTATTTGCCTTACTGATCTTAGACATCCAAATTAAAAAAAAAATAGAAAGAAAGAAAAGGCACATGAAGCAGTGACATAAAAATCCTATGACTCCTACCAGTTGTGTTGTAAGCTCAGAGAACCTCACGCTGAGAGCGAGTTCCTGACATAGTGACCTCATTCCCAACGCTGGCTTTATCTGCAGGCAGCAGCAGAGCTGCACTGGCTGCCCAGGCTGCAAGCCTGACGGGGATGTGTCGGGAATGATGAGACCCAGGCTTGCAAAGACTTGCACGGCAACTGGAATTCGTGACAGATAGCTCGCTGCAGCTAAACTTTGATCCAGTGAGTATACTGTAGAACTGCCTGTTACACACACGATGGAGAGTCGTCCTTCATCACAATGAGAAGCCAGCCTTAAAAAAATATATAGGAAAATGTGTCAGGTATATAATTGTGGACTGGTGAGTATATTAGATGCCAGATCAATTTTAATGTGTGTGTTCTTTCTTCAAGTATCTGGAGGTATGTGCCCTTTTTAATGTTTTGATGATTAACAAAATATGAATTGGTGCTAATGCATGTGAGGCACCTGGGCCCCTTGGAGAGAAGCATGTGCCCCATGCAGCCCTGTGCCTGGGCTCTGTCCCTGACCTAGAGTCTCTGCATTGCACAGACAAAGGAGCTAGCCCAGACACACACGGAGGCTGTAGCTTTTCTTGGAGCGATGACTCATTTCAGCTCACAAAGGATTCTGGGCAGGGTAGTGAGAAGTCAGGTTGGCTGATCCATCCCTATGACTTCACTTTGCAGAGAACGAGCAGAAGAGGAGTGACACTGCAGATTCCCGAGGCACTGCAGTGGGACATTGGCTCAGTGCAAGTGGCTGTGATATATGAGATAGGCATGGGACAGGATTCCAGCTGTTCCATGCAAATAGATAAAAGAATGGTAAAGAGGATTCCTCTCCTTTTTTTTTTTTTTTGTTTTTCCTCCTTTCTAAAAATCATTACCAGCAAAGTATATTCACAAAACCTTCAAAAGGTGCTTTCTGCCAGCTTTTGAACTGAACTTGTGCCAGTATCTCAAGCCCTGAATTAAAAGAAGAGCTGAGAGTTCTGGAGCTCATTTTTTAAAAGTAGATCTACCAAGGTAAAGTACCTGATTCCTGTTGTGTTCCACGGGCCCTCAGCAGCCAGTCTGAAGTGCTCATTTAGGATACTATTACTCAGAAGTTTACTCTTTCTTCTTATTACAGATTCTAGGACGTCCGTTTCTGTTACTGGCTCCTTCTTGCGCTTGGATGCAACCCCCTAGCATGCACCAGGCTTTAGCATCAAAGCTACCTGGGAGATGGAGCCAGTCCAGAACGGGTCAGGTAGGTTCCCCCTGCTTTTGTTCAAGAGTTGTTATGTGCAAAGAAATATGGTAAAATGTCTCTCACACCTGTGATGAGGGGGAACTGGACCCTGAAAAGTGGACTTCCCGTTGGAGTCCTCCTGCAGCCTCCTACATATAGCTCAAGTCCTCTGTGGAGGCTGCCAGCTGCACAAGAGCTCACTAGCATGAGTCATTGTCACCCTAGAACTGAAAAAGTCAACAGCTGTAGGACTTGCAGATAGGAAACAAACTTTTTCACGTTTCCATCAGCTGTGTCTCTCTCACGCTCCTCGGAGGGAGAATTCTAGTAAATACTATTTGAAATTTTTTTTTCTCAATTAATGTGTAGTCCCTGAAATTTTGCATGTTATTTGTCCTGTGATCCTACATGCAATGCACTAAAATCCATGTAAAATCCTGATTTATATGTTCAGGGGCTGTTTCCCAGACTAACATTGTATTGGGGCTGCTCTGAATGACTAAGGAAGTAAGCATATTTCACTATGGTCTGCTTCAGGATTCCGATTATGACAGCTGTTTTCTTACAACATTCATGGGCTTTTTACACAAAGCTTTTTTTTTTTTTTTTGATAGCAAAACAGTAAATGTTGGTCCTCAAAAGTGTCATTCCGTGCTCCATTTCCAAAGTGAAACGTGGCACATCTGAAAACATGGTTTTACCACTTCATCCACTGTGTAGTTTTAGTGTTGGTGTGTATGAAAGGTATTTCTGAGAGTGTTGAATCCTTTACATAATTTGTGAGGATAATTAGAATATCTTAAAATAGTGCAAACTCCATATTGGATAGGACCCTTGCACCTCTCTTTTCCTCTTACTGTTCCATCTATCTCCGTAGCTCGGCCTTTCATGGAAGAAAAGGAAGCATGTTCCCTTTCTTCCTTGTCAAGGATGCGTCTGTGCGTAGCACATTGCACCTTTAAGGCAATCTTGGGGATGTTAAGTCTGTTTGAAAGGATGTTTGGTCAGGAAAAACACAAGTGTAGTATATTGAGGATGTAATTGCATAATACCCTACACCCATCCATTCTACTCTTCCTTAAAAATCCAGTTCGAAATCTCTCCCACTGGGAGAGACTACCCCCAACAGATAGTCATTTCTTAATCTTTTAAACCCCCACCATAAAATCAGTTTGCTAGTCATTCATGTATCTTCTTGTTACAGCTCTTTGAAGGATGTTTGGAACATTAATGTGAATATTTTATAATTGCTTATATTTTCATGTCTTTGTATCTTGTTTTTCTACTTAGATTGTAAATTCACTGGAGGTGGGGATCAAGATTTATGTCTTCTTCTGTAATTAGCATCTCCTTGCAATTTCCTATATGTAGAAACTACTTAGTAAATACCTGATTCAGAGGGACAGCAAATGAGAAGTATTCATTTGTTGTGGAGTTAGAATGGTCTGTTTTGTTCATTTTGATGGAACTGGAGGAGATCTTGTTAAGTGAATAAGCCAGGCACAGAAAACCAAACATCACATGTTCTCACTCATTTAAGGAAACTAAAAATATGGGTCTTAAAGAAGACCAGAGTGCAACAGTGGTCCCTGGAGACTGTGAAGGGTAGGGGAGAAGGATGGAGAGAGGCTAGACAGTAGGTACCAAGCTGTAGTTAGATAGGAGGAATTAGTGCCCGTGTTCTCTAGCACCATGCAGTAACCATTGTCTTCCGTAATTTATGACGTATTTCAGAATAACTGGAAGATTTCAGAATTCTTCAAAATACAGAAACAATAAATGTTTGAAGAAACAAAAATGCTAACTCCCTTATTTGATAATTACACATTACAAATATACATATCAAATTATCATCTCAGTATTCCACAGATATATATAAATACTATGTGCCAATTTAAAAAAAATAAAGAAAGAATCTTCACACGATAGAGTAATGGTAAGGTAAACCTTGAGAATTATGCAAGTCTCTCTGGAAATCATGATTACTCTTACTGTGAGATACGTTCACATCTGGGAAGGCTGCTCATACGCTGCTTGTAACGGGACTGTTATCATTAAGAGCAAATAGGAATGTGAGGCTCTAAATATGGACCTTAATCATGGTTTGCTTGGATTTTGTTGGACAAGCCTTCCCTAAGGAAAGGAGGGCGTGTAAAACTCTGAAAGTGGGTGAAAGTCACTTTATTTCTTAGCCTACAGGGCATTTTACTACGAGAAAAGCACCGTGATGGCCATGAGCGTCCCAGGTCCCATGGGAAACCACTTAACTTCTAGTGCCATTGATCTTTGCACCAAGAGATCTTACTTAAGCACTGAGACGTCTTTCCCTTTTGTAGGTGAAGGATTAGCCCAGCCAAAATTTTGAAGCAGGCCAAGGTTTCTCTGACAGCCTTATTACTATGACATACTGTTCCCCAGCTGCTTCCTCTAAAGCCCCCGGTGCAATGTGTGTTTTTCCCTTTGGCCTTAAGACCATTCTCTTCCAGCCCGTGATAAATCCCAAAGTTAGAAGTTCAATGTGTCTTCACTTTTCTTGCCTTTCAGCTACTATTCCATTCACTCAGTGCAGGTGCTCACAGCTACCAGACAGGAGGAAAGCAATCTGATTAAACTCATTTAAATGAGCATAAGAAAGATCAAACTGCCCTCTTAGCCTTCGAAAAGATGTTTTTGTTTCTTTCAAAGGCTTCTTTTTAGGATTAAATTAATTTCTTATTGGTATAAATTCAAAACAGTGTGAAAGAGTAAGTTGCTTGAAATTAGATAGGCTTGGGGAAGATATTTTTAATACTACTATTTATTAAATATTTCTTAGGGTCTGGTCAGTACAACACTCAGTATTCGTTACCCCATTTAATCCCATCAATGAACTCAAGGTCCTCCTGTCTCAGCCTCCAGAGCCGCTGGGATTACAGGCATCCTCCACCACCCCCAGCTCAGATTCTTTTCTATATAAGGCACTTACTACACAGGAAAGGAAAATGGCATCTTTCATAGGAGTTTTGGTTAGCCAGGCTCATTACACAACTGTGTGACATCTGAGAGATCTCACCAACTGTTGTCAGCTAGGACTGGTATTTCATCATGATTTTATCCCAGGTGATAAATGGCGTTGACGTAATTCTGGATGAGGGACTAGAGATCCGGGCAGCAGCTTGTATTGAGACCATCTGGCAGATAGCAGGGCCTTGCCTTGCCTTGTCTTTATGTGAGGGACCTTTTTATTCAACAAACATTTGAGTGCCTGCTATGTAAATAACACTGCTAGGGTTTAGTCCACAGTGCCTCACAAACACCACCTTTGTAGTAGTTGTTGGGCTATAATGTGAATGAAGCCTTAGCAAAGGTTTAGTGCTAAAGCGTGTAATTGGTCTGATGGCTCGTATTTCCTTCCTAACTTTGCAGCTGCAATCTATTGTGAAGAGCCAAGTGGTCCAGAGGGTTAGATGTTATGGATCACGATAAGATGTCAGGAGTCATCTCTGGGGTTAGGGAGGGCAACTCCCTAGCAGGGCAGTTCTCACCCACTGCCCTTCTCTCCCTGCCACTCTACCCTTCTTGACTGGTCTGCCTCTTACTCAATGACTGTTATTCATCAGGAGTCGAATCTCAGTGATAGGAGCAAAGGCTGGCATGACTGAAGAAGGTGTGTAGCCTGGGATGATGACGGTTCCCTCTGTACATCTGTGAGCTGATTGATTTATCATTTCTCCAGCTGCCCATCTCCACATCAGACAGCTGATAAGCAGAGGCGAGGGACATGGACTCATTTTGGTGTGTGTGTGTGCCCTAAGTCACAGTAATTACTATTCTTGACTCAGCTCTTACTAGAAGTTTCTTAATGGACATCATGAACCTCGTTATCATTACTAGAAGCCTTCTGCATATGTTCACTTTTGAATTACAAGTTTATTCAAATTAATAACTCAGAAATTGGACTTTCTTTAAGAGGCCCTTCACCTGTTGAAATAAAGATTGGGAAACCTTAGAAAAGCTGTTTAGAATTTCTAAATATTCTAAAGTACTTTTTTAAAAAATATTAAGTCTCTTTCCACTATTACAATAAAGACCCAGCCTTGGGCTGGGGATGTGGCTCAAGCGGTAGCGCGCTCGCCTGGCATGCGTGCGGCCCAGGCTCGATCCTCAGCACCACATACAAAGATGTTGTGTCTGCCAAAAAATAAAAAATAAATATTAAAAATTCAAAAAAAAAAAAAAAAAGACCCAGCCTTAAGGTTTTGAAATCAGTGGCATTTAAAACAGATCTACAGTAAACTGGTAAAGGTGCCTTTTGCAATCCCAGTTTTCTTTCAGATTTCAAATGCAAATATTTGAAAGTCAAGTACGGTAATCTGGTTTCAAAGGAAACTCAGAAGCAAGGGAACTAATGGGAGCCATATGCTCCCCCCACACCAAGGGTGCTGTGGTCTTGCGGAGAGAGTGTAGGAAAGGAATACGTGTCCGTTTCAAACAGCTCTTTAAAAAACATTGTAGTAGACCTTCTGTTAAAAGAACCAGACAGCATCTATACATAAAATTGGGGTTAACAAATTGAATTAAATTGTAAAACACAAGATTTGTCTGATGCTGTGCATCAGAGAAACTGTTCACTTAACTGTAACCTCAGAGAGCTTATGATTTCCCCAAGCTCAAGGGCATTTAAGATAAAACTTGGCGAGTCGGTAGGTTCTATGAATAGTGTGTTGAAAGGAGTAGAGTTGTATTGTCTGTGTGGCCTCCATGCACTTTACAGACAGGGGTGACCATTTTTATGAGGAGTCACAGTATCAACTCCATGCAGTAATTTTATTAGAATCTATAATTTTTACTTGAATGTTAATTTTGGCAGTATGGAGATCAAAAGAGTCATGTTTGTCCTGAGGAACAAAGCTGAATAAGATTTTGAATTAGAAAGAAGCCTTTATTATAAGGGAAAAAATAATAGCTAGTATAGTTAGCCATTTCTTTTAATTTTCAGCTCAAATGAGATTAAAATATTTTCCCCAAAAAACATGGAA